ATGAAGAGGACTGAGGGGATGAAGAGGACTGAGGGGATGAAGAGGACCGAGTGAATGAAGAGGACTGAGGGAATGAGAACACCGGGGAAAGCATAGGTATGAAAGAGAAAGAGGGAGAGAGGAACAGACAGTGAAGGGAAAGTGTATACATTTTATAACTGCTTCATTCTCCACCGAGATACATACAACACAACTATTTCCCCTCAACATTCCAAATATAAGCTATTCCCCATGTATTATTTCTGTCCCTGGCAACAAAGTAGTCAAAGTGAAGAATACTTCCTACTCTTTGTTGAAAGAATTCCTATATCTCAAACCACTCTGCTTTGCTCAAATACTCCAAATGTCCTCACTTCTTATTTAAAATTTAAACTTTTAAAAAATTTTCCTTATTAGGTTTCACAAGTCCCAGTATTCCATGAATTAGTAATGTGAATGTGAACTTCAATTGATAATATCAAAGCCTTTAATTTTATACCATTCCCCCATTGATCTAGTAGACTAGCTCATTTATTATTGTTTAGATACTCATTTTTCCTGCAGTTTGAATGTATTCCTCCTGGTTAACATAGTGTTATCCAGGGGCTGGAGAGATGGCTCAGCGGTTAACAGCACTGATTGCTCTTCCAGAGGTCCTGAGTTCAATTCCCAGCAACCACATGATGGCTCACAACCATCTATAATGGGATCTGATGCCCTTTTATGTGTGAAGACAGCTACAGTGTGCTCATGTATAACATGTGTGTGTATGTGTGTGTAGTGTTGTCTGCTTGGGATTGGGTCTCAGATGCTCTATGGATAAGAAAATTTGCATGTAGATGTTCAAGCCCCGTTTATAAAATGTAATTGTATATAATATCTACATTCTCTTGTATCCTTTAAAATTATAACTATATTATTTATTGTTATAGTCTGGGTGCTAAAGGCTCTCCTGAAAGTTCATTTGGTAAACAGTGTATCATCCCCTTGGGAGATAGTAAAGCCTTACAAGATGGGGCCTACTGGGAGGTGTTTAGAATGGAGGGTATGCCCTAAAAGAGAATAGTGGAACCCCAGCCTATCACTTCCTATTTTTGTTTCACTTCTCACCTATAAACTTGAGCAACCCTGCTCAACTCTGCCAGTGGTTGTCAAACTTCCTAATGTTGCAACCATTCAATACAGTTCCTCATGTTGTGGTGACCTCCAACCATAAAATTATTTTTGTTGCTACTTTATAACTGTAATTTTACTACTGTTATAAATCTCATGTTTTTCTGACTGTCTTAGGAAACCCCTATGAATGGAGTCATGACCTACAGGTTGAGAAGCACTGAACTGTGCATTCCTTGCCATTGTGTGTTACCTCACTAGTGGCCCAAAGCAACAGGCCAATTCAGTATGCACAACAATACCCCCAACAGCACAATAAACTCCTGATCATTTTGAGTTTGGTTATGACACACTTGTGCCTACTACAATATAGATACTATATAATTAAAAAAAGACAAAGAATTTTGAATATTGAAGGGCCTCAAACTCTGTTTCTGCTTCCCAGTGCTGGAATTAAAGGCTTGTGCCACCATACTTGGCTCTAACTATATTTCAATATTAAAAGATCAGTGGTTGGTATGACTGTGCTTATCATGTTCACCCTGGGATGTATTGTTCTAAATGAAAAGGCATACAAATGTGTCTTATTACAGCATTTTCATATATTTATGTGCTTTCCATTATACTTTGTCTCCTTCATTGTCCATTCTCCTATTCCCTTTTTACAATTAAAAAGAGTGTGTGTGTGTGTGTGTGTGCCTGCGCCTGTGCATGATGTGCATGTGCGGTGCACACTCAAAGGTCAGAGGACAACTTTGTGGGGTCTGTTCTCCCCTGTCACCTTTAGGTGGGTTCCTCGGATCAGACTCAAGATTGTGTGACAAATGCTTTCACTGATGAAAGCTGTCTTACCAGCCTTCTCCTACTCCCCTCTTGCTGGACTCTTTCCGTCTCTCAAATAATTTCTTTTATGTTTTCATCTGACTTTTCAAATGGATATTTTCTATCTCATAAAAGCCATGGATTTCTACCCATGGGTCTTGAGGGCTGATTTGTGCTTCACCACCCTGAAAGTGGGAACATGAAACAATTTCCTAAGTGCTGATCAGATTTCTGGAGTATCTTGATATCAGAAAGGGAGTAGTCTTCCTAGTAGACATTAGCATTTCAGTGAATGGAGAGGCATAATTTCTATTAATACTTTTAAGTATATAAACTAGTATGGTATAGTTAATATAAAATAAAATGCACATATCTTACTCACTTTGTGAATTTCGACAACAGTATTATTTTAATCACTTGAGACAAAATATAGAACCTCTTAATCATTCAGAGCCTTTAGCCTCTTTTCCTACCATGCTGCTGTGTCTTAAAATCATCTTGAAATTTATGAAACTTCTCTTTTTCTTGGATTCTGTATAAATGGAACAAAATATAATGCACTATACTATGCCCAGTTTCTTCGGTTTATAAAAATATTTGTGAGACTTATCCATGTTATCAGGTATATTATTGACAAGCATGTTACTTTTATTGCTGACTTGCCTAGAGTATGATATACATATTTTTCATGTTTTATCTGTGCTCCTCTGATAGTTACATGGCTACTTTTTATTATGAATAAGGCTGTTCTAAACATGTAGTTTTCTTGTGAACTTGAATTTCATTTTAGTCAAGTAACAGATTAATGGATCATGCACAGGTTAGATTGATGTTTAACTTTAAAGAAACTGTGAAACAGTTTTTTAACATATGTTATTAATCACTAGTGATGAGTGAGTCCCAGCTGCTTTATATAATTACTGACATTTGGGTTATACAAGACTGACTTTAGCTCCTCAATGTGTGGAATGGAATGGACTCCACTATAGTTTAAACTTGCATTTCTTGTCACTAAAGATTATTGAACATTCTTCTTTGTTTTATCAAGAAACTCACACAATTTATTCCTTAATCATTTAAAGTTTTAGGTCATTTGTTCATTTTTTGAGACTGAATCTCATATGGTCCAGGTCTTTTTTTTAAAAAAAAAAAAAACTTTTTATTCTTAGTGAATTTCACATCATGCACCCGACCCACTCATCTCCCTGACCCTTTGTTATCTGTCCTCCACTCTTGCAACTTTCCAAAGGAAAAAACAATAGGAACATCTCATCGTGGAAACTGAAATTGTATCACAGTGTGTCGTGCAGTACATCCTTTGCCCACACATCTTTGTTTGCAAATAACCATTCCAGTGAGTCATGGTTCTAGTTTGCGGTCTGGTTTCTGCTACATTAGCAGTGCTGGGACTCCTCTCTGATATCCTGTTGCCCTGTGTCATGGAGATCCTGCAGCTGTGGATCTGCAGGACCAGAGCCTTCACATCCTGTAGCAGTTCACAGATAGGGTAGATGTTGTGGTGGGCCAGCTCAAAGCCCAGAATCTGGGCCTTGGTAGTAGCTGAGTCAGTTAGCCCACCAGCTCTCCTGCACCTACCCCACCACAGCAAGATCTCCATCCAGCACTGCCCTGGTTATCTCACTTTGTTGAAGCGGGCAAGGGGCAGGGCCAGATCTCAGGCTCTCATCCAACCCCATGACACCAGGGCCAGCTCTATTGTGCTGCCAGGGAGAGGTGCAGGGCCTGCTCTCCCAAATGCTGTAACCCTGTGAGGGATGGTACAAGCTCACCATCAGGTGATGGCAGGCAAGGGGTGGAGCCAGCTCAGCACAGTGCTCAGATATCAACATGGCCTCAGATAGCCCAGACCAGGCCTTTGTTGTCTGGGCTGTATGGCCTTGGTAAACAAGGGCCTCTGACATCAACTCAGACTCTAGCTTTGATAGGACCATGGACCCAGACATGTCACTAGAAGCAACATGGGGCTGGATGTCAGTCTCTGGTTCATCTTAAAACACTTATAATTGCATTAAGGTAGGTTCCCAATTTCCCTTCATATGTGGATATCTAGTTTCCCCAGTACCATTCATTCTTTCTCATATTGCATCTCAACACCCTTACTGAAAATCAACTGATCATAAATATACATTTCTGAACTCTTCAATTATGCTTCATTTATTTACACAATTTATGATAGTATTGTCGTGTGTGTGTGTGTGTGTGTGTGTGTGCACGCGAACGTGCTCCTCCCTGTGCTTGCCTGTGTCCTCATGTGTAGAAAGCAGAGGTCTATGTTAGGTGTCTTCCTCTACCCATTTCCATCTTATTTTTTGAGAGGACCTTTCACTAGATCTGGAGCTGGCTGTTTTATCTAGACTAGCTGACCTGTGAGCCTTCAGGGTCTGCCTGAAACGCACGAGCACTTTGACTACAGATGTGTGCTGGCGTGCCTAGCTTCCACATGAGTGGTACAGATCTGAATTCAGGTCTTCATGCCTACGCAGCAAAAACCACTTTATCCATAAAGCAATCTTCCCGGCACTATCTTATTGTAGCTGTGTAGCAAGGTCTGAAAACAGGAGCTGAATTTTTCTGATCACTAGATAAATGCACAGAAAGAACAAAAATAATCCAGTGGTAGAGGGAATTACAAGATAATGGAAAGTAGCCGGGCGGTGGTGGCGCACGCCTTTAATCCCAGCACTTGGGAGGCAGAGGCAGGTGGATTTCTGAGTTCGAGGCCAGCCTGGTCTACAGAGTGAGTTCCAGGACAGCCAGGGCTATACAGAGAAACTCTGTCTCGAAAAACCAAAAAAAAAAAAAAAAAAAAAAAAAGATAATGGAAAGTATCATGAGGGACATAGTGAATACAGGAGTCAGAATCAAGATATGTGGTGAGTTAGTGATCAGGTCTACAAGTAAGTTTGACAAATTTATGGCAAAAAAAAAAAAAAAGAAAAAAAACCCCCTTTATACTCAGATCCCAAGATTGCATACTTGTGTAGGCCTGCAGTCAGCTGCTTCTTTTCCTGGCATGTCTTATAATTTAAAAACGTAACATGACCTCACTTTCATAAAATAATAAATTCACAAATTAAAAAAAATCTTAAGGTTAAAACATCTAAAAGATAAAAAGTAGTCTTACAGTCTTTTCAATTTTGTACTCATATTTATCAACATATAGGCATTCAAATTCTGTATACTGTGATCTGTATTTTGTTTTTTCTTTTGGAAAAATATGACCCAGATTCCATGGACACATGTAATAGAATGCTTTAATGGGTCAGGAGTATTCTATTGTATGCACACACCATAATTGTCTTCTGTTCTAGTGATATTATACACCATGAGTATGTAATATAAACATGATAATCAACAATATCCTTAGGAATCTTTTTTTTAAGTGCAACAGATAATGCTTATATTAATAAGTCAGGTTGTACTATTATGGCCCTCACAGCAGTAGTCACAAAAAAATTGTATTTTCACAGTCCTGTCAATACTGGTAAGCAAAAGAGATCTGCTTGGAAGGTAGACACCTTTTCATTTGTTAACTGGGTATTTTTCTTGGAGAATGTCATGATATATTTGGACAATTTTCTCTTTTGAGTCAAAGTCTTACTTATATGTCCAAGATGACCTCAAACTCCTACCCTAGTAGCTAGAGTGCTGGGATTACAGACATGTGCCACTTCTTTTGTCTATTATTTAGGTATTGAAATTTAGAATTGATTTTTTCTTTTTCTTTTTTGGTTTTTCGAGACAGGGCTTCTCTGTGTAGCCCTGGCTGTCCTGGAACTCACTCTGTAGACCAGGCTGGCCTCGAACTCAGAAATCCGCCTGTCTCTGCCTCCCAAGTGCTGGGATTAAAGGTGTGTGTCACCACCGCCAGGCTAGAATTGATTTTGCAAGAACTGTATGTTAGGAATATTTTTTTCTTTGCAAATGTTATGAATGTATTTTTCTATGGTTCACTATTTCCAATACTGTGAGTGTATTACAATCTTAGCTTATTTCATACTTGGAAAAGGCCTTTCTACCCTCAAGGCCATCAATATACTCACTTTGATCTTCTATTTAAAAACATTACTAAAATACTGTGTCTTTATGTGTGTAAGTGTACATGAGTGCAGATGCTCTCGGAGGCCAAAGGTGTCAGATGGCCTGAGAGCTGTAGTTACAGACTGATGTAAGCAGCAGGACCTCGGTTCTGGGACCTGAATACAGGTCCTTTGGGAAAGCAGCAAGCACTCTTCATCACGGACTTTCTTCTATTTTTAATGGTTTAATTTATTTCTTTTAAGTGTTCATCTAGCATTTACTCTTGTGTGAGAAATAAAGCTTTTCTTCAATTGCTAGTCATCTCTCCAGTCTTCTCACTTTCCAGTGATTTTTTTTTTTTTAACGTATACTTTCACTGGGTACGAATGATTTGATTTGATTTCAGGATCTGGGAAAACCGTAAAACACAGTTGAATTTACAGAACTAGGGGTTAAGATAATCTATAAAAATGCTGCGGCACTTGATATAGGAGCGTTCAGCAAATTGTTACTCTCAATGTCACACGACTTCTGCGTTCCCACGTATCTCCTTTATATAACCTACCCATAATTGTATGCACTTCCATTTCAAGAAAAAAAAAATGTGACAGCTCAGTTACCATTCTACCAAGAGGCCGGATATAGTCCAAGGACAAACATAAGCTGTCCTTCACAGCGCACTGTCACGATCCAAGGCCAGTCAGGAGGCACTCAGCAAGCATGGGTACAGACGGGATGCCTGTTTCTCCCATCGCCTACCTTGAAGCGCCAAAAGCCTAGTCTATCTCAGTCTTTAGGTCGCAAATATCAAAGCTCTCACCAAGTACCAATTCAGTTTGCAGCCTGGAGACCAGGAAGGAGCGCACCCTGTTGTACCCCTAAGAGTAGGAGGGCCTACAGGATGGGACTGGGGCAGGAAGGAGGTTCTGACCTGACTTCCCTGGTGGCAAGCTGGGGCGACTCCGCACTGGGCTGACTGGGTGCCAGAGCCCGAAATTCCGCCCAGCAGGCACAGTGACAGGCGGGCAGGAACAGAGGTGGTGGCGAAGAGCACCTTCTAAGCCCTCAGAGAAGGAGGTGTGACAAGGGCAGGACGAGGGCAGAGTCCCTCAACCCACTGGGAGTCGGGCATGAGCTCTGCCGTTCCCCTGCCTCGCGGGCTTTGGTGGGGCCCACAGGGACGTCCCAGAGTGGTATCCGCACTTTTCTCCTAGTAGCAGCGGCTGCCCGCGCAACCGTCGCCGGCTTTCCTCCCCAACGGCTCCGGCCTTGGGCGGCGCGCGGTGCCGATGACGTAGACGGGGGGCGGGACTTCCTGCCTCGCGCGCCGCCGCGGCTCCGGACGAGGTCCGCTCCGGAGTGGCGGGCGGCGGGCTGAGGGGGCGGCGTGGCTGCTGAGGAGGCCGGGCCGCGGAGGAGGAGCCGGACTTGCAGCCGCCGCCCTCTCGGCCCTCCGAGTTTCCCGGGCTACCTCAACCTTCCCCAGGCGTGGGTGCCCTCGCTTACAGCCCGCCCGGCTCGTCGGCGGCCGCCTGGACTGCTCCAGGCGTGGCGGGCTGGGCCCACACCCCCAGCCGGTGGGACCGTCCGGACCCCTCGGCCCCAATGCCTGGGCGAGCAGAGCGGAGTGGGTGGCGGTGGTCGGAGCTGTGTCGGGGGCCCCCGGGGGCGAGCGCGGCTGCTGTGCTGGGGCAAGCTGCAGGGACCGAGTGTGAGTTTGGTAAGTCACCTCTCTTTTTAGGCTTGTTGGGCATCTGCTTGGAATCCTGCAGCACTTCTCTGCTCCAGCCCTTGAACCTCGGTTTTGTTTCTTGGTGAAGTAGTGGAAGCACGTGTTTGGAAGGCAGGCCTTGAGATGAGTTCTGGATGCAGGCTTTTTTAAAAAAAATATTTATTTATTTATTTATTTATTTATTTATTTATTTTTAAGCACGAGTAACTCCGTTCTGGGCTCTTTGGTGCACTGCGGCACGGTAGCCAGCGTAGTAATGGGGTTAATGTAAAGGACCTCCAGTTTAATTTGTGGTGGAAAAGCAACGCTGGCATCCTTTTCCTTGTCCTTAAACATAGTTGTAGCAGTGACGTTTGCGGATGTTGCTGAGGTAAGGTCTGAAATGTGGGAAGTATATTTTGGGCTTGATACTTTAGCAAGTTCTTAGTCCAGTTTCTGACTATGATAAAAAAAGGACACTTGGCTTTTTAAAAATGCCCTAAAGGATACTGAAGTGTCTTTAAGGCTTTGTTACCTTCTAATTATCAGGCCACTTCCTTCTCAAAGATGTTGAGGATAAGGATAAATTTGTTCCGAATTTTTTTTTTTAATATGTAGAGAATTCATTGTGTGTTCAGGCTGTTAGTATAAAGTACTAAACTGAGATCTAAAGAACTGAGTAGGTTGTTAAAGCTGTGCCTCTGTTACCAAGCAACATCATCGTAAACAAGTCTAAGATTCAACATAAGTAAATGTGGCCTGTTAATCTGAATTTGGAGCTCTCCAAATTTATGCTTTTAGTTTATTTATAGGTGGTTATATTTGTCACCTTTTAAATTCAGATTTGATTTCAACTCAGTTTTGCTTAGAATTATTAGAACACTTTGATTTTTCTGTTGTCACCCAAGACTCTTTGGAGAGTTGTAAATGGATTTGAGTTCTTTTTGGTTGTCACTTATCCCAGAGTATTTATTTCTCTTTGAATATTTTCTTTTCTAATGAGATAAAGTATGCAAGCTGTATGTAATAATAGTCTTAAATAACAAGATGATAGCAATTTAGAGTTACATATCTTTGAGAGATTGCAAAACAGTACAAGTTTTTAAGCCTTGATTTAGCAGTAGCCTTGGTCTACAATTGTTGAGCCCTTAATGATATAACTTGAGTGGTAAACTAAGTTTTTAATTTAATTTAATTTAATTTATTACGTGTTCTATTTGGTGGGGAAAGCATTTAAGACAGGGTCTGGCTTTGTATCCCAGGCTTACTTTGAATTGGCAATTTCTCTGCCTCAGCCTCCTGAATTCCAGGTGAAATGAAAATGAGGCTGTAACCGCTCCAAGGTATGGCTGAGGAGAAGGGTTTACTGTAAAGGAGAGAACAGCCAGAGGCCACAAGAAGGGTCTAGACTGAACATGGCTAACAGAATAGACCGGGCCATGAGATGAGAGAGGGGGAGAGCAAGAAAGGAAAGAGAGGTCCAGGAGTGGAGTGTAAAGCAGAACCGGGAATCCAGAGAGTAGTCAAGTTGACTGAGGTTATACAGGTAAGAGAAGCTGGGGGAAGGGAAGGGAAGCTCAGAGGCTGGAGAGGTTTAGGGTAGGGGACTGTGGGAGTGGGGGTAAGGAGGGGGTTAGTATGTGGGGGGAGCGAATGCCAGCCAGGAAGACTCTGCAGCAAGTACTTGTGAGTCGGGTTTGAGGGAGCCTAGAGGCTAGCATAGATCTTGAACAGCCTTGGGTTCTTTTTGTCAGAGATAAGAATGACTTAAGTCCCTGAGGGAATGCTGGTTTTTTTCTAAATGTCAAACTTTGGGAAAAGGAATTTCTTAGGATCTTACTGGGACCACAAGCCTGAGTGATTGGCTCAAATGAGCTTTTTGTTGTTGTTTGCCTTATTTATTTGTTTGTTTGTTTGTTGTTGTTTTAAGTTGAAGCTTCGTCTTGTAATTTTGCTCAGGCTGATCTGGAACCCACTATATCTTCCTCATTGACTTTGAACATCTGGCAATTCTTGTGGCTCAACCTTCCCAGTGTTGAGACTACATGTGTGAAGCCACCATGGCATCAATTTGAAACTGTGACAAATGATGTCTTTAAAGTCAAACTATTAGCAATAGGAAGTGGAATTTATACCCCCTTACTAAAAATCTGTAGATTTCATTTTAGTTTTCACTCACTGTGTGTGTCCTTCTGATGCTGAGGTTAACGTAATGAGCCATTGATCAGTGCTGGAGTTATTGGCAGTTGTGAGCCCACCTATATAGTTACAGAGACTTGTGGTGTCTTTTGAGAGGAGCAGCTCTTTAACTGCCCAACCATGTCTCTCTAGTCCCTCCTCATCACAACTGCGTTAACTTACAGTGACTTCTTCAAAATTGTCTCATATTGGCTTCCCAAGCTCTTTTTCATTATGGAAAAAGTGCCTTTGTCCAAACTTTTCTTCCATTATCCTTCAAACCTGTTTTCTCCTTCCTGTATCAGTCTTTATTTCTTTCTACCCTGACCCAATTTCTTCCTTTTTTAAAAAAAAAAAGGTTTTTTAAAAGTTTTTTTTTTTAAAACTTTTCTGTAAGGTTCAATTTAACCGTGACATTTGAAATTCTACAGTATGTAGTTGTGATTTAGACTGGTCTTGTCTTCCTAACTAGATTCACCTCTTTCATGAGCATATCCTTTGTTTTTTTTAAACAGAAGCTGTTGAGAGGATGTTTCTTAACTGACACATGTTCATTTGAACCCCTGACTCTTCCTATAAAATAGAAGTCAGAATATAGCAGTAAATCACAAGATGGGAAATTAAAGAGTGGGGGAAATCACTGGAATCAAAAGGGAAGGTTTTGTTCCTAGAAAGTATGAATGAATATTTGAGAATTTCCCATGACAGTAGCATTACTAAGAACTCCCTGTGGAGTTCTGGCTCTACTCCCATAGGGCATGGAGAGTTTGGTCAATTTCCTGGTTCTTCCCTAGAAGAACCTTAGTTTTAAAATGTGAGTCCCTTTTATCTTCCTTTCCTTTCTTCCTCTTGCATCCTCCTGGTCTCTCTCCATCTCATTTCATGTCTTTCCATTCTATATTCTATGTTTTACTCAGTCAACATTAATTTATGAAACTATACTTTAATACTTTAATGTGCTCTCCTATGTTGGCAATCCTCTGAAGTTCACTGCTTGCCTGTGTTCTGTCAGGACTACTCTTTCTGGATTCACAGATCACTGGCTGCCATGTCAAGTCTAGTGCTATTTCTTCTGTGTTTGAGCAGTATTCTAGGAGGAGAGAAACCAAGGAAGCTGGGAAATGCTCCATTGTTGCTTTCTGTATATTATGACTTTAAAGTACTTTAAGAATTAAAATTTAGAGCTAGGAAGAACCTAAAATCTGACCTTTCCTTTTTGGAAAGTACCTGTCATTCTCAAACTATGACTTTTAAAATTGTAGGTAACTATAATAAACTTGCCATAAATCACATGTCTGATGCTTATAAGCACAGAGTGGCTTTAGGTAAAGGTATAAGAAGGTGAAGTAGGATATTGAAATATTTTTATAAATCTTCTTGGGTTCAGTGTTAGGTGATCTTGCCAGCCTAGCTTCTAAGTTGTTGCCCAGTAACATGATTGCAATAAAACATAGCAACCACTGAAAACTATAGGGATTTCAGGACACAGGCCTAGCTCTAGTGCTCACGATCATCTCTCTCATCTGTATCACATTTATTTTAGATCAGATACCATGTTAAAGAGCAACAGTATATACCTTGAATATATTTCTCAGGGTGCTGACATAACTTCTTGTACATTATTTTCCTGAGATGCATTATAAATGTTTTGAATAATAGTACAGATAAAGGATATCTGAAAAGACTGGATTAACCAAAAATCTGTAGAAAAGTTATTATTCACATCAGTCTCCTCTACAGCTTATATTGCTTATATTTAGCTAGCTTATATTGGCTAGCTAAAAATGGAGTGAAGTTGAAATATACTTTTTTTTTGTGTGACTCCCAGAGTTACATGGATGCCTTATACCAGTAAACATAATTTCATAGATTGTGGTTTTGTGAGAAGAGAATCAGGTCCAGGAGACCAGCTTGAGTGGGTGCCCCCCCACACACACACAATTAACACAAGCTAGAGTCATCTGGAAGGAGGGAACCTCAGTTGAGGAATTGCTTATATCAGATTGGGCTTTAGGCAAGCCCTGTAAGTCATTTTCTTGATTGGAGGGCACAGCCTACTGTGGGTGGTGCTTCCCCTATGCAGTGGTCCTGGAATGTGCTGAGCAAGCCAGGACAAACAAGCTAGTAAGCAGAGTTCCTCCAAGGTCTCTCTGCTTTGGTTCCTGGCTTGAGTTTTTGCTGACTTCCCTAAAGGATGTACTCTAGTTACCTGGAAGTGTATATACTGAAGTAAACCAGCTGGTTTGGTGGCTCTCCCCTTTAATGCCAGCACTGGGGTTAGAGGCAGGTGGATCTCTATGAGTTTGAGGCTAGCCTGGTCTACATTCTGAGTT